TCCTGGTCAGTCTGAGCTGCTAGAACACATTCCCATAGATTATGAGGCTTATAAACAAAAGAAATGTACTTCTCATAGTTCTGGAGGCTAGAAATCTGAGATCAGGGTACCAGCATGGTCAGGTGTGGGAGAGAGCTGTCTTCTGGGTTGTGGACTTCCTTCTTCACTTTGTGTCTTTACAGGGCAGAAAGGGCCATGGAGCTCCCCGGGGTATTCTCTGTAAGAGCACTAATCCTATTCTTTTTCACACTGCATACTTTATTTTTTTAATATAATTTATTGTCAAGGCGGTTTCCATTCAATATCCAGTGCTCACCCCAACAAGCACTAATCCTATTCTTTTTTTTTTTTTTTAATAATTTTAATGTTTATTTTTGAGAGAGAGAGAGACAGAGACAGAGACAGAGAGACAGAGTACAAGTGGGGGAGGGGCAGAGAGAAAGGGAAACACAGAATCTGAAGCAGGTTCCAGGCTGTGAGCTATCAGCATAGAGCTAGACTCAGGGCTTGAACCCACAAACCATGAGACCATGACTTGAGCCAAAGTCAGATGCTTAATGGACCAAGCCACCCAGGTGCCCCACATTAATCCTATTCTTAAGGACTCTATTCTTATGGCCTCCCCAAAGCCCCACCTCCTAATTTCATCACACTGGGGGGGAGGGTAGGATTTCAACTTATGGATTTGGAAGGGGGACACAAATATTCAGTCCATACCAGCATGCAAAGTGAAAAAGAGCAAATTCTATAAGGAGACAGAAGGAAATCAAGGGCAGCGAGAATTCTGAGCTGGAAAAAGTCACTGGAGGAAAACTAGTATGTCTAGACTAAAAGGGACTTTAGTGATCATCAGAACATTGGTATAAGTGGCCTAATAGCATTTTCTCTTTCCTCTCTTTTGCCCATTTACAGTCAGGATTCCAAATCAGAACTCAGAACTCAGAAAGGAAGGAAGGGAGGGAGGGAGGGAGGAAAGAAAGATGGAAGGAAGGAAGGAAAGAAAGATGGAAGGAAGGAAAGGAGGGAGGGAAGAAGGAAGGGAAGCAAGGAGAAAAAAAGAAAAGGGAAGGGAAGGAAAGAAAGGAAAGAGGGAAAGAAAGAAATCTCATCGTTCATTGATACATAATAGTGTGTGTTTGTCTCAACTCCTCTCTGTCCTCTAGATTGAGTATTGAAATAATACAAATCACACAGCAAGAGAAGCAGCACTCCACTGAGGAGTCCTGCAAATGACTGACCTTTATGGAACTAACTAGCAAGGTACATGGATGCCTGGTCAAGATCGGAAGGTCGTGAGACTCTTCCATTGGAAGGCTGAGCTTTTCTTCTAATTCTCTTAACCTACAATGGATTACATAAATTCCTGCTTACCTAGTAGTATCTTGTGATTCTTTTTATACCCCCTAACCACAGTGTTGTGGACTCCATTCTGATACCTTCATTCTAAATCTCTCCCCGCGACAGAGATTTCTGTAAACTCAGCAGCAAAACCCAACCCCAGAAGTTGGCAAAGCTGCATAGTAGGCTCCTCTTACTGAGGTCTATCCCCCTCTGAATGCTGATATGTTCTTGAGATGAGGGAGCTTTAAAACCCCTTGTTGACATCGGTCTAAGATCTCTCTGTCTGAGGTACTATCAGGGAATTCGCAGGGCATTCATCAAAATCAAGCTGATGCAAGCATGCATACTCACAAGAAAGAGCCCTTTTATGCTGAAAACTGCTGAAGGGTGGAAAAGGGGCTAATTTATTTAAATTATCCCTCTAAGTGTCAAGCCCCACACTTTCTGGAAGGGTCTGACAACTGTGGGTTAAAGAAAGTTTTCTCAAATTTATAAATAAATTAGTGACGGTGGAAAGTTAACCTGGGAAATCAGAGTAACAGAAAAGTAATCGCCATTGATGTTGATGCAGATGTAGGAAAATACAGTTTTCTGCTATTAAGCTTTTAAATGTCAGCAAATGGCAGTTTAGTAGATCATTTGCTAATAATGATTAAATTTCTCATTAAAATGTTTCCTTCATTATTCTTCAGGTAGAAATGTGTAATTCAATGATTGTTACATCAATTACACTTAAAAAGCTCATTAAAATACTGAAATATTATCTCTCGTAGTCGGAGTACTTTAAGAGTACTGTACTAATTATAAAAGAAATAAACTCTTATAATAGCACCATTTGAACTGATGCCTTATAAATTCTTAATGTAAAGCTAACATGTAAAGTTTAAATCAAATATATAGATCCAATAAAACAAAACCTTTTTAATCTTGTTTTACCTTCAAAAGGACTCTGATTATTGTAATTAAATAATGCATGATATAATAAAGATCTAGAGTGTGTGATTATTTCATTGGCAATTGAATATTGGTGCTTTTTATTTATGCAAGCAATGTATCACAGGCAATATGCATCAAGCATTAAAATATTGATACAATTACACCTAGCTTGCCGAACCAATAAAAAAAATCTGTGACATGACTCTGCTGATGATACGAGGACAGTTTGAAATCCTTTTTAAATTTTAATAGTCTGATGTGCTGGGTTATGCTAATTTTGCTAAGAAATAATGCCTCCAAGATTCACTGTTGTGCTTTTCATTCCTGCTAGAGAACAAATCCAGCTTTGCTCAGCATGGCTAACAAGTAGAGTTTGCTCCTGTATGCATTTGACCATTCTTTTTCTGGGAAAGATAAAAAAGCACCATAAGGTTTGGGGTTAGTTTGTTTGTTTTTAAGGGTATTCATTCATATTATAATGACCTTTCTCTAATTTTCTCATTTACTGAGTTTCACAGTTGCTTTTAAAACATTCAAATGCTTTTTATTCTTAACTCCTTTCTCAACAGAGCAAAGGGTTAGGGAAGTTTTCCTTGTAGCTGTTCTATTATTAAAGCCTTGGCAAGTGACTACGTGGGGCTCTGAGCCTGCCCCAGAAGTCCTCCATGAAAGCAATAGATGACAGAATTTTTCTGCCATGTGCACACCTGGGGTTCAGTGTTACATAGCTGACCCATTTTCTCACCTGTACAAATGGACCCAAAATGCCTTTGTTGTTCTGTGTGCACAGGAGTAATTTCATACATAATTGTTGATTTAAAAACAGCAACGGAAACAGACACTCTGCTCATCTGGCTGCTGAAATGTTTGTATGATTCTGGGGGCTCTTTGCTTTCAAAATATTTTTAGACCCTTAACCTGACTAGAGGGGGAAGGTGTTTTCTATTATCCCAACCGGCAGCAGTGTTCATACGGAAAGATGCAAAGATTCAGAATGTGATAGCTTGTGCAAGGAGCGACAACAACAACAACAAAATCGCATAGTTCAACTTGTGTGTTTTACAGTGAGGGCGTCTGACACCCTAAGAAGTGAAGGGGTTTTACAGGCGTTCCTTCTTTCGACCAGTCTCAGATCAGAGCAGGATCTGATGAAATTACCATCATACCATGGTTACCTAGACCTTCTCCTCAGTGATGGTTATCTGGGAGACCTGATTTAAAAAAAACAAAACAAACAAACAAACAAAAACACCACCCAGTTTCTAAGGAAAGGCTGCCTGATATCTTTGCTCTCCAAAGAGGTACCAGGCATACTATGGAGTTCGGAAAGATGGGAATTGTTGAGCCTGTAAACAGAATGTATACATTGCAGTAATTTAATTGCATCTTAAGATCCCAGAGTTGTACTCTAGAGCCAGTAACTGTGTAAACTCCATCTTCACCTTTCCTTCTAGTGACTATAGTTCCCCTTTTAGCAATGTCAAGTGTATTTTCTCCCTCTTTTCCTATATGAGTAAGTAGCAATGGCTGGTGATGATACAGCACAGTTGATCATCATGAATGTCTATAGGATGTCATATTTATACCCTTCTGTTTAGCTTAAATCTTACTCAGGCTCTAATAGCAAACAGTCCAGTTACAATGGGCTAGCATTGCAAAGCATCTGCTCAATTCAGATAAATAAGACCAATGCGTTTGAAGGGCAAAGTTTCAATACAAGTGGCCTGCCATTTCATTTGGAGATGCAATTCTTATGCAGCATAAATAACAAAGGGGAAAGGGATCATTTGCTAATTGATTAATTATCTTGTAAATGAATTACAAACCTATGGAGTGCTAGCTAGGTGTGTGCAGAAGACCTGGATGCTTTCTTTTCTCCTTCGAGTGTCTGAGCACAAGTGAAGATGAGGCTCTGTACACACAAAGTGGCATCTGTTACACCAGGCTGGGGGCCGCATGCCATGATGTGCTTGTCGTTTGTCAGTACTTAAAAACCATTCGTTGCTGAACGCAGGTATTTGTGTGTGCGCGTTGGTGTGCAGAAGCATACAAAAAGAAATGAAAATTATATTTCAAGTCAAAGCACTCCAGTGAGTTAACAGTTCAGTTGGGATGGCCGAGTGTTCTTTTTTTGCCTTTATTTTTACATTCTATAAATGGCAGAGTTGTTCTGAATAACAATCTTTTGTGGACTAAAAGCGCCAAGGATTAAAGATCAGGGAGAAGAGTGTTCGCGAAGTGCAAAAGCTGAGGGTTGCAGTGCCTTGATAACCACAGAAGAGCCGATAATTAACATTCCTGATTCCTAGGCAAAAGGGCAATTGGTCTTCCAAAGGCGTAGCCTACTGCTCTGTTTCTCCCTCTATATGAAAGTAGCTGATTTAGTCAGAAAGGTGACAGTTAAGGCTCTTTGCTGGCAGAATTTTTGCATCTTCCCAGTGCCTCGTTCCCCCCCCCCCCCCCCCCCCCGACTTTACCACAGAGGCTGTCCATCATGGTTGTTATGTATGCAGGCTGAGTGAGCCCGCAGGGGATCCTAGTTATTTACACTCTTTTTCAAGCTTCGAAGCTGTTATAATCATTCGCTGTCAACTTTGTGCTGACACTGAATTTTACTTTGTGTTTTTTATGCTCGGTTTGGGTCTAAAATACTGGCATCCATACCCTACACTGTAATTCCATGGGTGACTGAGCTGACCAGCCGTATCCTGTATTACCAACAGAGCCCTGGAATCCTGCTCCATATGGAAATTTCAGAATTTGTTGATTGTGGACAATAAACAGAGTCCTCCAGCTCTGTGCTTTTATCCTGGTGGTGGCCCTCAAGAGTAAGCCGAGCATCCTGTTTCATCTCAGTGCATTTTCGTCTTTAAGAACATGTAAGTATCAGTTTCATTTGCCCCTGAGTTGTAAAGTTGGAACAGGCAGAACTTTCCCTCTGCAAGACCCAGTGTGATTTTCAGGCATTACTCTTTCCTCCAGACCCCTGTTAAAAGGAAAGTGTTTGTGAACTCCCCTTGTGGTTGCCCCCTGCTCATTCCTTTCTGTCTTGAATGGGTCAAAATACATGCTGGAAATGCATTCGTGATTCAGATCAAAATAGAAGTGTTGTTCTAGGTGCCACGAATGACAAGGGACAGATTAAATAGACCCTGGGTAAGGCCACCAGAGGGATGTGAGTGATATGCTTTTAGACTTCATCAAGGGACATTTGCATGCTCAGCCCTCAACGCCCTGCGTCCTAATCATGCGGGGAATAAACACCTTCCTTTCACTTGTGAACACCATTCTTTCCATTAAGCCCAGGGACTGAAACCTTTAATGACAGGGCAGGGAATGATTTCTCCATGTTTAAAATGTACTGTTTCTACGCACCGTCTCCCATCTCTCCAATATGAAAATTTCATGTACGTCAGGGCCCAAAGGGAAGTGATCCACAAAATGATATGACCCTATTCTTAACTGGACTTGAAATAAAGTTGGTCAAGGAGCTTGTGTGCTCGGCCAATATAATAAAGTAGACAAATAATTACCGAGCAAATCAAACACACTTACACCTCAGATGATTTTGAAATATTATCTATAATCGGGCACTTCTGTGCTAGGAGGAAAGGTTAATAAAGTAATTTAAAAAAGATTGTGTGGAGTATTATAGAATCAGAAGAGGGCTGGCGATCATAATTGTTAATCTCCTAAAACACCAGTTCTGCATTGCACAAAGCAGATATTTTAGTACATATTCTTATTGTGTATTCCACTTATTACTATATTAGCTTGCTTAATTATCCTTTATAAAAACCTTACTTTCGATATATTTTTTTTTTGGTATTAAAAGAGTTGATATGATTATTCCAGCAGACCAGCAATGCATGTGTCAGTCTTGATGTGTAGATGCATAGAGACAAGTAATATCTTGGAAAATTAGTTGTCTTATGTATGCCACGTAGGGGAGCAGTACTGGAGTGGGAACAAGGTACTTATACAGTAGCAACCCTTTCCTTCCTGCTTTCATTTGCTACAGATAGATGGGCAATGACACAACTTTTGCAGTTGGAATTATTGGAATCAAGAAAGGTAATTCTAAGCTAGTTGCTGGTAGTTTAATACTCATGAGATAGACCTAAGGTGTATGTTTGTGGGATTTATCTGCAGGAAGATCTGTTCACATAAAAACATCTCTTCTGTAACATCTCTTTTTTAAAAGTCATATATAAAAGTAAATTTTAATCATTCTTCTATTGAAGAATTGATTCGGTATAGAAGGAACAAAGGGAGGAAGCTAAGCATGGGAAGATACGAGTCCCGCCCCCACCTCTCTTTGTACCCCAGGGCAGATTGGTTTCTGGAAAACAGGAATAACGAAAAAATCTGCCTCGTAGGGCTTTTGGAGGATATATGAAAAACTACATAAACTTCAAAAGCACCTGCAAAAAATGTTATCTGTTATACTTCTTTGTTTCACCAAATTTCCCCATCACATTCATATAATATTTTCTCATTTATAAGTGTTTGAAATATTTACTGTATAGTTACGCAACTATTTTTCACCTTAAGTTAATCCCAGACTGGTTAGAAATATGTTTCTAATGTTTTCCTGTACAGATAATTTGCACTTTAAATTATTGCTCTCTCTTGGACCTGCTACCTCTTCTGGGTAACCTTGTACTTTTCTCCTTCCACTTCCAACATCTCAGCCAGGTGACGTGCTGCTCCCATGCTTTCACATCCAGTTTATCCTTAGCCTCCTTGTACTCGCGCCTTTGTGCCTGCCACACCACTGGAACCGATCTGTGTTAGTCCACAGCGACAGGTGACGGTTCCTTCAAACCATGCCTCTGACCTGTCTGCGGTGGGCGACCCTCGGCCTCTGTGGCACAGCCAGCTCCGGGTCAGCCGCCCACTCCCGCTTTGTGTTTCGCTTCCTCCTTCTCCTTGCTGCAGAGGATGCTCCGCAGGCTCCAGCCTGAGCCCCTGGCTCTTCTCTCTTCCCCCCCACCCCTCGCCAGAGCCTTCAGAGGCTCTGTCCATTCCCGCTGCTTCAAAGATAGCCTCGCTGCTACTTAGCCGCCCACATCTCCCTTTCAAGCCTCAAACCCCAATCCCTCATAAGAACGTAAACAAACACCATTCTGGCTGCAGCTGTGCAGAGCTCTCCACTAGCAGGAGTCACTGTAGCTGTCAGAGTGACCAGCTTTGAGGAAGCTTTATTTTAGAGTCAGGTGAATTACAGTCTTAATTCCTGCAGACTGAAGCAATTGTGAAGTTGTTCATTTGATGTGATTTTGGTGTAGAACCAAGCAGACTTGATGACATGTTGGAGCCTTGTGCTAGAACCACCTACTAAAACATTGTTTCTCCTAACAGTGGGGGTCAGTGGGGGTTCAGAAGGCGTCTTCCTTTCTCATCTACCACTGACGGCATGGTTTGAGGACTGTGGGGAGATGGCAAGGTAAGGGATACCTTGCCAGCACCGAGGACTTTCAGAATGACTGAGCTGACATGTCTGTTAGTTGCTTTGTGGATTAAGATTTTCCTTTTCTCTGGCAGCAAATATAGCTCTTAGAACTCTTGGCAGTAATGTTGGCAGGACTCCAATAAGCCAGCCTCTTTTGAGGACTTTGACCCAGGCCAGTGTGGTCTATGCTTCCAATTACAAAAAAAAAAAAAAAAAAATCAAAAAGTAAAAAGTAAAAAACAAAAATGAAGAAAAAAATCACAGCACATCGTGACTCTCAGGTGGCATCACGCCCACGAAATTCTGTGGCAATGTTCCACCTGTCTCCTGAGAGATGAGAACCTTGTCTAGTGCTGTCTTTCATCACTGTAAAAAAAAGTTCAAGTCAGGACCACAGATGTATAAGATGTGTCATTGAAAGCATGGATTTTCTCTGAACTTGGCAGCTGAAATGAGTTGACTCCAACCTTCTTCTGGGATCAATACCAAGTCCCTATGGAGAACCGAATGTCTTTCTCGAGGAAAACTCATGGACCCAGTGTAGGATAGGGGGGTGGCAGGTGTCGAGGGAGGGTGGGAGAATTATGTTTGTGAAGGAAAATCAAGGGAGTAGGAAGATCTCTCTTCTCTTCTCCGTTTTTTGGAACTCAACTACCATCACTTCACATGCCCCGCTGCTGTAATCAGTGCTTCTGGATCTAATGTTGCTATTCTGTCTGGCTGCAATGTTAGGACACGAAGCGTCCGATGGAATTTGCTGGATGATTAGCTAGTTGGTCAGAACAGGAAACTAACAGACATTATTCTTTTTCAGCAGTATTTTCCTTTGACCATGTTTCCAAATAGAACCTTCTAAGTTCAGTATAGTTGTGCCTGCATCACTCATTTCTAGAGTACAGGAGGTCAGTAGCACATGATTTCAAATACATCAATATTAGCCATATGTAATACGGGCCAACAATTTATTGGTGGGATTGAGTTCGTTGATATCAGTCTGCTTTGTTATTCCCTCCCTCCTTCTCTCCTACCTTCCACTATCCTTTCCTTCCCTCTTTTCTACTTTCATTTCTTCTTCCTTCCATCTTTCTTTCTTTCCTTTCTTGGATATGATATGGATATCTTATATTTATTATCACAGACCAAAAAATGATTTGTTGTGTTTCCTTGCTTATAATACTGACATTAGCCATTGCATTGTTCAATTTTTCTTATCTTTATATTTCTACACAAGGTTAGAGTTTTCCTACAACCTCTGGAGGTGTAAAGATACAAAGAGTAAAATACAGAATAACTGGTGTGTCTTTATGTAAGTAAGGTCAGAGCACATCATCATGTGGCATTTTTTTTAAACAAAGTAACGGAATTTCATACTATGAGTACCTAAGATCCAATACACGGAACAGGTTAGAGAAGTAATATAGTCATAGTAATTACTTTCATCTGGCAAAATATTTCAGTCAGCAATGACTAGCAATAAAATAAAATGATCACCTTTAGTGTATCTATTACAAAAACAATTGCCTAAAATAAGAGTGGTTTAAAATACCTGGTGGAATATAAAGCATCCATACAGAAGACTCCCTCAATCTCTCTCTCTCTCCCTCCCTCCCTCCCTCCCTCTCCCTCTCCCTCTCCCTCTCCCTCTCCCTCTCCCTCTCCCTCACCCTCTCCCTCTCCCCCTCCCTCCCTCCCTCCCTCTCTCCCCCCCTTCCCACCTTCCTTCTCTGTCTCACTCACTCACACACACACACTCACTCACTCCACACTAGTCCACAGACTATGTTAACAGCAATTTACCTGAAATGTACAGCTGTTTTTGTTCAAGAAAAAATACTCCAATTAAGGATTTATAAATAAATACTGTACTATTATAACTACTGTCCTTTTAGAAATGAGTTTTCTTTTAGCTTTTACGGTTTATAGAAATCACTTATCTGCTCCTTAAAAGACTCCTATTCTTTTTTCCTTCTCTTTTTTATAAATAGAGTGAATGTGAAACATCATTAATCCAGTCGTAATATCATCTGATAGTAGCTAATCCTTTCTTAGGCACAGCTTTTCTTGGGCCTTTGGAATATAGAAATGTGCTTTTACTGTCAGGCATTTTATTTAAGCATCAATCTATTCTTCATGCTTAATTGTATTTTGTGAAAGATCACCAACTAAAATGAACACTGTCTTCAAAGTTCCTTCCCTGGGAGTCTTGTGACATTCTCCAGCCTGCTGTTTTGTATGTTAAGGTCATGGATCAAGGGCAGCTCTGTGCCTGTGGTTTGGACTTGGCTGTGGGCTCCAGCAGGATGATGCAACCCGCACTGATCCTAATCGGTCAGAAGAAGTCTATTAAGTTTGAGCCCTTAAGCTGTCGCAGCCAAATCAGGGATACCGAAGTTACATTTGTTTTTGTGATGACCATTCATTTTGGTCAAATGAAGAAATTGCTTGTGTGGGTTCTGTGGCTTCAGGGGCAAAATCTGTGAATGTCACATATCTTTTAGCCTCTCTGCTTTCTCAGAGATATTATTGAGAAGATGCTTATGGAAAAATAATCATTTTTATTGCAGCTGTTTATAAGTCACCTTGATCATAAAAGAAAAGAGGCAAAGGTAATCAGAAGCTCGGTTTCTTTCTCTTAGTGAATGGCAAAGTTGGGAAGGCCTGTGTGCTGAGGTCCTGGGCACCCAGTGCATGTGTTTGGGTCTGGGGCTGCCCATGTCACTTACTTAACAGCCAGGAGTGGGTTCAGGACTTTCACCTTGAAACTGCATGCTTTTTCAAACACCATGGTCTGGCCGAATATCTAAATCTTCTCTCTTCGATCAAGATTATAGCTGTGCACTCATTTTTTTCCACCAATGAAAAGATTTTTGGTTTGAGAGCAATGCTGCCTGGGGATGGCATCCTGACCCATAGCCACCAAAAAGAAAGAATTCATTTTTCTTCCATTTTCTTCTTTAAAATTGTTGAATTTTTAGTTAGCCAGTGGAAGGGTTTCCACATGATACCAATGTTCATCTGACCTCACTTAGTAGTAAAACAAATGGAAAATAGGAGTGCATCTAGTGTGTGCATTGTTTCATCATCGCAGGCCAATAGACTTTAATGTGTTTGGCAGGGAAGAACTTAGGCATTCCATTTCACAGACAGAAAAACTGATACCTGAAAGAGTAAATGTCTTGACCAGACAACTGACAGCAGAGGTTGCCAGAATCTATTTTAACTCTCATAAAAATAGTTTGTTTACCACCAGTATCCAGCAAAAGCTGTCACCTTCTGTAGGAACAAAATTTTTCATAATGTTCATTATTCTAATAATAATAAGATATATACAGTAGTAGTTGTTTGTGGCTATAAAGTCAGGCTGACTTGGATTGGAACATGGCTTGGATCCCTGAGCCTCAGTTTTCTAACTTGTAAAGTGGTCAAGGTAATTATTCATACTTCAGAAGTCTTTTGTAAAAATGCATACAAAATATTTCACACCAGATGCAGAACGTTATAATTGCCCTATACATGATGATTAACTTTGCAGTTTATTGACAATCTCCCCAGCATCAAGGGAAAGAAAATTTTACAGTTCCAGTCAGGAAAAGAAAGCATGTGTGAGTATGATATAGAAAATAATACATTTTCTAAGATTGCATTGTGAGAACTGAAAAAGTATAAAAATTATGGCATTTCAAATTGGCATACTATTATGTTGCAGTACTGCTAGCAGATAGATGTAAAAATAAAGTACAGATGTATCTCTTTTTAGCAAAATCTGATATATGGAAATCTAGCTTTAGAGAAAGACTGGTTATAGGGTCATTATTTGCTTTACAAAGCTATTTGGCTTAAGGTTCCTTTATAAGGGAACTTCCCTCATAACTTTAATGTAATATTTCATGTACTGAAAAAAATCACACAACTTTGCAAGAACTCATTTCATGCATAAATTGAAGCACATCTGTTGAATGTATAGAGGAAAAAATTGAAGTCGCAAGAGGGAGAGCATTAAAAGTTAGGAATAAGTCAGATAATAACACATATGAAGTAGACAGAAGGAGAACATTAAAAGTTAGGAATAAGTCAGATAATAACATATGAAAAATAAAGTAGCAAGGGAACATGACATCCTGAAACTTCATATTTTGTAATTAAGTCTTGTTAATAATACAAATCCATAGAGTTCCTAATGTGTGTGTGTATGTGTGTGTGTGTGTGCGCACTCACGTGCGTGTGCTTATAGGAGAGAGGATGAGAAGGAGAGAGAGAGAGAGAGAGAGAGAGAAAGCCTGCTGTCACCTCTGTATATGACTTTCTGTCTCACTGTGAGCTGACTGGTTCAAAGTTCTCCAGAATTTGGCACATGCATCTAAAATGCAGCCATAATGCACTCACATCCTTCCAAACCCCAGTGATTCTGCATGTCATTCCTTTGCCTAAAATTTTGTCCTCAACACTCTGGCAATCTCAATGGGTAATGTCTATATCTTTCTCAGCTAGGCTATCCCTTCACTGGAAGGTATTTTGGATGGCATTTCATCTCCAGAACACTCAGGGAACCTACCTTTTGCTGGACTTTGTCTTACCTTCTTGACTTAGATGGTTTTTTTGTAGGTTGTAACAGAGCCTAGATGTTGGAATCCAATAGACTTCACTTTGAGCTCTGGCTCCATTTTTGACTTGAGGTTTGATCCTGGAGCGTGTTAACTGATCTCTCTGGGATTTAGCCTCATTCATCATACTCCTGGGAAAATCAATGGTACCTCATATCATTTCTGAGGAGATTTGATGAAATACATAAAGACCTCAGCATAGTGCCTAGAAAATGTTGGGATATGACAAATGTTTATATCATTTTACCTATATTACACTGCATTGTAACTACTGTCTTATTCCTCTATGTCCCCATTGAACTGTGAGCTACTTAAAGGAAAGTATTGGATCTTACCCAGCTCATATTACCAGAGCCCATCTGATTCATAAAAAGTGGGCACTGAATGCGTATTTGTGGAATCTAATTGAGACAAACACAACAGCATATATTTTCATGGAATATGGCAAGTCCTAGAGTAAAGCTATGTAGAAGGAGAAGAGAAAGAACGAAGAACTACACTGAAGTCCAAAGGGCACA